ATTTCTTTTTGGGAACTCCATAAAACCTTCTGAACGACCTCATTTGCCTCAAATTATGTAAATGTAAGGAATCGAATGCCACCGAAGTTTTTCCGATATCGGGAAATTTATTTCTTGAGGTAAACGACCCTCTTGATGCTTCGATAAACTTGGCTTTAGCTTGATCACCTGGAATGTATGTTCCATATAACCAGAGGCCAAATCTCAATCTTTTTTTTTTATCAGTTCAACGTAAAATGTTTTCTTTTTATTATTCGTGTTACTAATTTCGAATGGCTTTAATTTTCTTGAGCCCAGCAGGGCGCATTCGTTCATAAACATAATCGTGCGACGACGGCACTTTTTTGAGCAGAAATTTTTGCGTTTTCGTGTCTGTGTCTCAATTTCGAGTTTATCATTGGACTGAATCTCTTTGACGTTCACTTATGCCAGGTGTTATTGATGAGGCAACCTGGAATTCGGATAAAAATCCCACTTTTTCTTTGAAGGAATGACCTTGCTAAATACTTGTACATTTTATCATGGGTCTCGATTACAGTGCTTGACAGCATAAGAGCACTTGTTATTTACCTTTTGCAAAATTATTTGCAATGTGGACTTGATTTTCGTACACGTGTACGATTGTGGACAACTCGCAGTCAAAACAATATTTTCTCCCTTTTTCTCCAGGAAAAAAAATTTCTTAAACGAGGGAATTCGATAGCCTGTAATTGCGAAAAGTTTATATAATTAAAAACTGTTTCGAAAACTGACTATAAATTTGCTTTTTGGACAGTAACCCAAGAGCCTTATCATTTTTCAATGCATAATGGAATACTACCGATGATATGGTGCCTTTTGAAATCTTAATTGAAGCTTTATTTAGTTTGCATGAAGATAGAAGTTACCAACTTACAGGAGAAAATCGTGATAGGAATCAATGAACTGTCCTCACAAATGTTGCGGTTATGTATTTTTTTTTGAAATTCTTGGAAATGTTGTGTATATTTAACCTTCGAAAGCTTGGATCCAGATTTTTAAAATTCGCCATTTTTGACAGCCGATTCGAGCCAATGAAGTGTTTTAGCTGCAAAATACAAGTCCGCGTAAAAATTGGGAAAATGTCTCTGAAACTAGCACATGAGTAAAACTATGGCTGCCATTTTCCGGACAATTTCGTAGACTGCCAACAGGAAATGGGACAGCCACTAACCCAGGAATTCCGGTCACGCTTTGCACAGCTTTCTCATCTGGGGCCGAGATCAGGAGGTGCTACTGCCGCCAAATCGCCTCACGAAGCCTGCATGAGCCGAGAAAAGTGTTGTTCTGAATTCCTTCGAAGGTGTTCAGGAAAAAGAGAAAAAAATATATGTGTACAGGAATGTATAGTAGAAAACTTTTCGTAAACTTTTCTTTACTGGAGATCAGTGTTGATGAGTCGCTCGCGCGCGGGTGAAAATAAATTCTCTTCGCAATCTCGAGGCCTGAAGCATCAGACTTATCTTGTATCACTTCTCTGTATTTTGATGCCAAAGAAATAACGATGACATTTGTTTTCAATAAAAATTTTAAATTACGCAGAATAGAGGCTGAATTCAGAATTTCGAAACTTTCAAGAATGTACATCATATCAACATGGTTTACAATTCAAAGGAAATAAATTTGTATAAACGGTCAGAAAAAAATACGGTCGTCTCTTTAAAAAAAAAATCAACATGAAAATAAATTTCCTGACAATAAAGGAAAATAAAACTCAGTTTTCCAGTCAGCACTCGTCTGTTTTTTTTTTATTTCATGCATACAAAAGCTACGCCAATAAACTAATCGAACGGCACAAATACATCTTGAACGACGAAAAAAAAAAGTGGAGAATGCCACTAAATTTTCGCGCACTTGTTGATTCCAACTTTGTCAAAGTAGGAAACAAGGTATTCACTCGATTAACACGCGCAAATTCTCGTTACAGACAGTTACCAAAACTGAATGTCTCATTTCGGTGAATAAAACTTGTGCGAGACATTTCCCGAAATGCTTTTGCTAAATCAACATTCAGCATCAACAAATATATTCAACTATGTAAGCCCTATAATGTATCTTCCTGCTTTCAATTCTCTTTCAGGAAATCACAGCTTCAGATTAACGTTTTCTCCTAAACTAAGCCCAGCAAATAACTTCTTTCCCGCGGATCAAAAACTTTTTTTTTCAAAGGCCCTGGATTCCTTCCATTTAAGATATGCGGATCAAATTCCAATAAACTCTTCTAAAACTGAATCCAATCGCTAAACTATTCGTGGACATTGTGAACACGTGTATCACAACTGTTTTCCCAGAAAAATTTCATGCTGAGTCATATTTAAGAGGTCAGATCTAAACAAACACATTCCAAGGGAAACTTTCAACATCCTGCAAAAAAACAGATTCTTCATTCCTTCCCTAAGTTGAGTTCTTCTCAAATTTTTGCATCAACAACTGCAGTAAACCTTCGATTTCAGCGGTTTTATTACAGAGGATTTCTCACCATAATCTCTATGTTATTTGATTAAATCATCGGTAATTGAGAATAGATTTTTATTATGAATTCATTCCCTTTTTTAAAGATTATTTGAGGGATGAATATAAACTCGTCTTCAATTCATCGAAGAAAAAAAGGAATGGATAAATTAAATAGGGTTCACAAAATGTTTCGTTTGTCACTTCAGTTCGAAGATACCTTTCTGCATATGAACAGTAAAAGTAAGGTCTTTCTAAATGATTTAAAAACTGAGGACGGGATTCAAGGATTATTTTGAAAAAATCACAATCGAAGAATCGGTAAATAAAGGCTCTGTGCATATTCTTACTAAACGTTTTTTTTTAGAGAATTATTCTGAATTTTTTGGAAAACCTGAAACACTCAAAAGGGTAATTGTTTCCAAGAAAAATTTTTTTTTACGCATTTTAAAAGATTTCCTGAATCGTTGTGTGATACAGAGAAACAATTGTTTGACTTGGATTCTTGGTTTTCCAATCAAACATGTGCCTCTGGCACGTCGGCGTCGAGCATTTTGCTCACGTCACTCATCCGGTCGACAGTGATGACAGTGGGGACCTTACTGCTGGTGACACTGTCGACCAGTATTTCCCGCGTCGGCGACAAGTACTTTGGTGCAGGCGGCTTCTCCCTTACAGTGACAACTTGGGACTGTTGTTTCTGCTGCTGTCGAAGTGCCAAAGCATGATGATGATGATGATGATGCTGATGTTGATAATGATCCGACGCTGTCGAAGACACTGTCGAATCCCGCTTCAGTAGCATCGGCATGACGTAGCTTATTGACGTCGCTGACGATTGATTCGACGCTGCGGATCCGGAACGGGATCTCCGATTTGCTGAGAAGTCCTGTGGGAATATTTGTGAAAAATAAACGGGTTTTTTGCCTTTCGTGACTTTATACACATTATATATGACATCTTTTTTGGACTCATTGTCATACTATAGAGGAGCAATCATGCCGAAAATGATTCTTTGAAAATCAAGTACAATATTCGGATGCGAAAATCTCTGGAAACAGAATCATTCGAACCTATTTTCAACAGCAATATACAGATGGACTCTAACTATAACAAAATTCAAGGAACCCGAAAAAAATCGTTGTAGAGATAATTTCGTTGCAAAGAACCTCTATAATATGGATATATAGACTCCTGTGCCATTTGTGCCCATGGGACTAAAATTTTTTGTTTGACGAAGAAAATAGTTGTAGAGAGTCAACCTGTCCCAAAAGTTGAACTAAGATTTATCTTTATTTAATAAAGGATGCCCTCATCCTTGAAAAATCCCCGATTTGTTCACATTTTTGTTCACCAGCAATATAAATTTTATGAATATTTGTTATCTTTATATGCAGAATCACAGAAATATTGAACAAAACTGTATCGTCACATCCAGGACCATTGTAATAAGATAAGTTCACCGGCAATATTTTCATAAATGAAAACAGTTAATAATTTTTTATCACGACGTCCTATATGACAAATTTAGCACATTAATATTCCGAAGTGCCGAAAACAGTTGTGATTGGAGACACAGCTTTCGTAAATTAAAGATACTGAAGCGAATTGCAATATTCAAAGCAAAACAGTGACGGAAATCCCACCGGAAGAACATCAGTCACTTTAGCACTGGCTCACAAGAAATCTTTTGCCATGATCGTGCTTTTATGAGCAGAGATGACGGACGGAAATGTACTGCATATCTTGAGTAGCGTTTAATTATTTTCTGAATTTTGCTCAATTTTTCTTCAAACTCCAGTAGAAATAAAGTTGGGTAAGGTAGTTGAAAGGGTCATCATTTCCGCCAAAGATCCAAGGTTTTGCACAAAATATGTACATGCTGCCTCATGAACCTGCAGGTATATATGGTAACCAAAGTGCTCCGTAAATAGCACGCTTATTTATTTAATCGTGTACCATGGGGTATTTTGCAAAAGACCTTGCATCGTAATTTTCAACCCTTAAATCCAGTTATTTGTTTCCTACTTGTAAGGATTTTTATTTATGAATGACGCGCAATGGCTTGTTTCTTCGCAAAAAAATACACGAATGAGTGACTAATAAACTTTTTAAAATCAATTCAAAGCCCCAGGAATGATGCCACAAAATATTAATCAGAAAGCTACACTTATCTGAAGGAACTTTTCAACGTTGAAAAATTTTAGCAATGGTGGATCTTCGGTTGTTAATAAAGGCATATCCTCATTGAATGAAGAAAAATCTTGATCTCAAGTGATGATCATGAAGAAGTTCGTATAATTCTGCATTAAGCATACATTATTCTTGACAGCATTATTTGGATTTCATGACGCCTTCGTAACAGTAAAAAAAATCCCGAATAATTATGGAGACGAATACACTTAAATCAGCAGTAGCACCGAAGTTAAAATGAATCGTTGAGCTTTTCCATCCTGAAAACTCGGTGACATTGTTTTAAGCTTTATAAACAAAAATCTATGAACCTATATATGGGGCAAATCGAGATATAATTATTCTTTAAATACCTGTTAAAAATTTGGGTAAGCTTTTTACAGAGGGAATAGTTGCTAATGATTTGAAGATGGATACTCACGTCGAAGAAAAGGGCGACACGTTTCGGATCCAAACTGCCGAAACTGGCCACAGAAATGTCACCATCACTCGTCATTCTCTCATCAGCCAAAGAATTGATGCCAGCAATCGAATCTTCTTCCTCGGACGTGGCTTCATAATTGGTAACGCTGTCCAGATCCGAAAAATCTGCCGGCACTTTACTCCTGGAAGCTATGTAGAATGAATAATAAATGTTGTTCTGATCAAATAAATGAAACTAGCTCAGCTTAAATGCAATCAAAGCTTATCTATCACCTAAATTTGTATCACACTGAATAGATTTGAATATTCGAGCTTAAATTTTTGAAGAAATAGGGAATTTTTCAGCAGATTATACTGCGGTTGATGAAATTGCAGGTCTTCTGATACATTCCCCTCATGCTCACCAAAGCAGGGCATTAAAAAAGTGACTACAGAAATAGTATCTCCAAGTTTAGTCTACGAATGAAAAAAATTATATTTTGCACATGAATAAAATATGCAGGGAAAAAATGCAAAAGTTCTTGCCAGGGACTTTTTAATATTTTTTTATCGGTAAAAAAATGCAACGCTGAAACTCCAGAAAAATGTAAGGTACGCACTTTTGATGCATATTGTTGTACTGATTCCGTTCCCACACGTTCTTATAGAGATTTATAAATGTGATTATAAATCAAATTTAAGATTGATCATAATGATACTTTACTTAATTCGAACGGATTTTTTCGCATGATACACTGAGCCCTCATGAAATCGTCGAGGAAACCTACTGGAAATTAATATTGACTTGGCTAATAAATATTAACACGAGCAAAGCGCGTCAAGACTATTCCAAAACGCTGCGTAATTTCAAAAAAATCATCATATGATGTCGATTTTGACAAATTTATCAGATGAAATGCAAGCATGCACGCAAATTACAATTCTTGCTCACGGTCGATTTCCTAGTTTCGGTATTTAGCCCAGACCGACGATGAATAAATAATATTGTAACTTAACTTTTTCGAATAAAGTTGAAATGTTCAAAAACAGCAACGGATGTGTGAAAAATTTCAAGAGGGGCGATTGAGTTTGTGCTTTATTTTTATTCATGTACTTTTTTTTAAATTCCGAATCACAGCTTGTATTTGGTCCTTATTTCACTACATGGGATAACATCTTTCTCTCACCAGGCCGTCGATGCTCAGCTCGTCTTCGACGTTCGCTGCTGGAAACCCTCTCGACAGACTTGTGCATGTCCTGGGACTTCCTATCGACACCGTCGACACTTCCGTTCCTGCTGTTATTCTTGGCCCCCAGGGATGAAACGGACCCGGTTCGGACGTCGTTTCCCCCGAACGATAAATGCTTATCGTTCGGGGCCGGGGACGGGACGGAAGACCTGCTGCTGTTGCAATTCCGCGTCACCCTGGCCCTGACGTCGTCGACGTTGACGCCGTCGTCTTCGTCTTCGTCGTCGTCGTCGTCGACGATGTCGGTTTCCCGGTCCACGGAGCAGGTGTCGCGCACGAAGCTCATGAGGTCGTTTTGCTCCAAATAGGCGCGGATGACTGAGCCGAACATGTCCGAGGAAGTTACTGCAATATTGAGAAAGATACAGGTAAAGAAAATTTAAAGAAAGGGATATAACTTGAACTATAGTTGGCTTCAACGACAGAATATTTCCGCGAAATGTATTGCCCACTTCGAACCAGGAGAAAAAGTTAAACTCGTTCCGTCGAATATCGTATCAGAAACAAGATGAAGACCTTGTGCTTTAAATTGATTGTTACTGATATTTTGTTTTCATTTCAGGGAAGGAATGGGTGTATGCATATACATGTCAGATGTCTGGTTGTATTTTGTGGATTGTATTTTCTTTCATTACTTTTTATCCATTTGTGCTCTGTTTCCTGCTCTGAAGTGATTAAATGTCTTTCAGTTGATCTGGGTTGGGTGGGGAGGGGATTTGGATGTGGAAATCTTGATTGAACCTTTATTGTGAACGCCAAAAAGCGGAAAATAAAGTGTTCATTCATTCATTTATATTGTACATTTATATCCCAAATAAATTGGGACCCTGCTGTCCAGGGTCCTTAGACTCCTGGCAAAGAAACTGGTTTAGGTGAAAACAAGTAACACAGCAATCGGCCGTTTGCGGCCTGAGGTTGATCCTCAATTGTTGATGTATATTTTTCAAAGAATAATGTTGATGATGAACACAAAGTACAAGTTTTCTCTGAGGAGTGTTCGCGATCACTTCAGGAACATGAATGCTGATTTTGTGTAGTCTTGAGCTGCAGGTCCATTCCTGTGGAAATGTTTGGGTTGAATTCT